GAGGAAAAGGTGCACGTTAGATGAGGAATAATTCTTACTCACTAGGGAGCCCAACTCCAGAGGGCTTCCGGGACCTTGAGAACACATCTGCTGAGAATTCACTGATGGGCCAGGCACCAGACTATCCATGGTGGTCAAGGCCAGGGCCTGCCTTCCCGGGGTCTACTATCTAGGGCAGGGACACAGACATTTTCTGCAAGGGACCAGACAGTAAATATTTCTTGTTTTTCAGGCCATATGTTTGTCGCAACTACTCAACTTGGTCATTGTAGTGTGAAAGCAGCCATAGGTGAATGAGGTGGCTGTGTTCCAATAAAACTTTATTTACAGGGGCCAGCCCCATGGCCAAGTGTTTAAATGTGCCAGCTCTGCTTGGACGGCCTAGGATTTGCCGGGTTCTGATCCTGGACGTGGACCTACACACAGCTCATCAAGCCATGCTGAGGTGGCATCCCACATAGAGGAACTAGACTGACCTACAACTAGGATATACAACTGTGTACTGGGGCTTTGGGAAGAAAAAAAAAAGGGGAAGAGTGATAACAGATGTTAGCTCAGGGCCAATCTTCCTCACCAAAAAAAGCATACTTAAAAAAAAGTTCTTTTTTGAAAGCTCTGTTGTTGTTTTTTTAGATTGGCCCTGAACTAACATCTGCTGCCAATCTTTATTTTCCTTCTTCTCCCCAAAGCCCCCTAGCACATAATTGTATATTCCAGTTGTAGGTCCCTCTAGTTCTTCTATGTGGGATGCCACCTCAGCATGGTTTGATGAGTTGTGCTAGATCTGTGCCCAAGATGTGAACCGGTGAAAGTCTGGGTGGCAGTAGTGGAGCGTGTGAACTTAACCACTTGGCCGCAGGGCTGGCCCCTGGGCAGGAACAAGTACTTATTCATGTTTGTCTCCCTAGTGCCTAGAGTGAGGCCTGCTTCGTGGTGGGCCCTCAGTGGTGTGTGCTGAGTAATACTCCAGGAAGATCTTCCAAGGAAAATGCTGTGGGTCTGTAGGTATATTTACAATCCACACCTTGAGTTGCACTTGGAGTCATGATACTAGATTGTTTAAATTAAGGGACCCCAGTAAATCACACACACACACACACACAGATATACGCAGGTATCTTACAATTAATCCCCCAGGTATATGAGCAGTTAATATTCTAATTCTATTATCCTTTCAACTCCCTCCCTCCCTTCCCATTCTCTCTTCCTCCTTTTCCTCCTCCTCTCCCTTCTCTAATATCTTTCCCTAAATATTTATTATGCATCTTCTATGTGCCAGGCACTATGCTAGGCTCTGGATAACATCTGATTATAGCAATCAAGACATAACAGCTGCCCGCAAGCTTATAATCCAGTAGCTGAACCCAAAGGAAAGAAAAAAGAAGAAAAAAATAAAGATAAATGCAGAATTGAATGAACTAGAAAGCAAATATAAAACAGGAAATATTAACAAAACCGAAAGTTAGATTCTTTGGAAAGAGTAACAAAATTGATTAAAAAAAAACCCCAAGCCCCAAAACTCTAGCAAGATTGAGCAAGAGTAGAAAAAGAAAGAAAAGAAAAGGTACAAATAGTCAATGTCAGGCATTGTAAGGAGACATCACAACAGAGCCCACCTTCGTTAAAGATCATAAGAAGATATTATGCTAATACATTTGAAAATTTCGATGAGTAAATTCCTAAAAAATACAACTTATTAAAACTAATATAAGAAAAAAATATGAATCTTAATAGTCCAATAACTATTAAATAAATTGAATCCATAATTCAAAACTTTTCCACAAAAAAACCTCCAGGCTTGGAAGCAATATCCTCAGAAATGCATACATACATGCACCAGAATACAAGCACAAGAATGATCATAGTAGCACTATTTGTACTAGCCCTAACCTGGGAACAACCCAAATGTCCATCAAGGGTAGAACAGGCTAGGAGAAAACAAAACCGCAAAATGTTGGCCCACTTAACCTGAAGCAGTGTGCACAGATGGTGTGTTCTGTTGTACTGAGAAATGCTTCCATGGGAGAGGTGCTACTTGAGTGGAGGCTTGAGAGAGAGAAGATGTCTGCTGGTGGATTTGTTGGGAGGGTGGGGAGGGAGCAGGATGGGCAGAGACACTGGAATGGGAGATAACACGATGTGTTTGGGAAAGGACAAAGTGTAGCTGGAGACTAGGAGCAAGGGTGCCCCGGGCAGGGTGGGGCTGGAGGTGATTCATGACGGGCCAGGGAGAGCCACTGAGGGGTTGAAGATGGGAAATAATGTGACGAGAGCTTCCTATTTTAGATGGACATTCTAGTGGCTTTGCTCAGCTGAATGAAAAAACCAAGCCAGGAGGGCGGATTGGAGAGATATGCAAGGTCAGACAAGAGGCGCTGGGGCTGGGAAATGGTGCAGTTGCAGTGGGAGTAGAGAGGAGGGGCTGGAAACAAGAACCTTACTAAGGTTAAATCTGTAGGACTTGGACAGCGACGAAATTCAGGGGGTGAGGGAGAGAGGGAGGGGTCCAGGACATCCCTCAGGTTGTTGGTTTGGGAGGACGGGTGGATGGGGAATGAGGGGGAGATGAGGAGGTAAGTTTGGGACATGTTGAGTTTGAAAAATCCACTGTCCAGTGGAAGGCTGGGCATTTGGATTTGGGGCTCAGAGGACACATTTGTGCTGGTGACATTGGCCGTCAAAAGCAGCAGGTGACTGGAGTTGTGGGACTGAGGAGGAGCTCTCTCAGGGAAGAGGTTGGGCGGAGGGAGAAATCTCTGGGCAGCACCAACATTTCTAACAGTCATGGAGGCGGTAGGAAGGTTCCTACTGGAAAGAAAGCACAGGCCCTTTCTTTGAGGCTGTCTGCATGTGCTGGTGCAGAAGTCACCCTGCCAAGGAGGGGCTCCCATGGAAGGGGAGCCCCAGACAGGAGGACCTGTAGACAGAAGGAAAACAGAAGCCCTCAGATTCCAGGCGTTTCTCCCTTCTAGCAGGACTCCTGGTCTGACTTCACACTGGGCCTCTTTCCAAGCCTCTTACCCCCTTAAGAAACAAGGAAATAGGGCTGTGGTGTTCCTGACGTTGAACCAAAGTGTGCTCTTTGTATCATCAACCCCACAAGGATTGGGAAGCCTGGAATGCCTGGTGTCGTCTGGGAGTGGCACAGCTCCTGGCACACGCGGGTTCCTCTCCCCCAAACTAAGGAGTGAACTCTACAGCTTTCTAGAGTTATCTCAGCCTGTAAGCCATGGATTATGTCCGAAAACCATGCTGCACGTGCCAGGTCCTGGGTGATTTTCTGTTTACAGTGCAGAGGCTATAACATGTGTCTGTTGTTTCGATGAGCTTTGTGATCAAAGTGTGTGTAATTGGTTGTAGACGTTTTGAAGGAAAAGAACAGGTACGTCCTCACCGAGAGACAGAAAACTAAGCTAAACAGACAATTTAAAACCGAAGGAAAGTAACCCGAGGAAACTGAATCACACAGTTTTGGAAAAATATAAAGCAGGGGCAACTTTTGTTCAAACAAACTATTACTGAGGAACCCAGTAACTAAAACAGATGAGTGCCGGGCTGCCCTGGCCCCGGGAGCCCCCGCTCTAGGTTTCCAACCCCCTTTTCCCACCCGCCCCTGCTCTCCAGGCTCCATCCCAGCAGACGCCCGTGGTCCTTGGAAGCTGTCTCTGTAGAAGTTTGCTTCTGTCCTGCTAACTGCCGTGCCGTATCTCTAGCCCATTCATTAGCATCTCTCAGCAGGCTGAAACTTTCTGAGACACAGCCCACTGTCCGTGTGCTGTGCCTCTCTGTCCCTATGTCACAGAGCGACCACTAGCTCTTTTATCTCTAAGAAATATTCCAGTCAATATAGTTTCTGACCCAGGAATGGGTCCCAAGTCCTCCGGCTTGAGTTGACCTGATATCCCATGTCTGAAGGGGACAGTCAGCTCTGGGCGTTGAGAGGAAAGAACCCCGAGGTGTGCGCATGCTCTTTGTGTGTGTGGGTGCTGGCTGTGGCCAGGCGGGGTCCCCCTGGTACTCCAGGCTCCACATCCACACACTTACATGGGTGGAAGGGAAAAAGAACAGAGGCAGGTGGGGAGTGGGGGCTCCAGGGGGCCAGATCTGGAGGAAGAGGGGAGCAACTAACTCTTCAAGGCTTCAAGGGACTAAAAGGTCAGCATGCAAAGGACACAAATAATTCATATCAATAAACCTTACAAATGTACGTGACCTCTGACTGTTCTACTTTGGAATTTGCTCTTCAAAAGAATGTCCTGACTAGTAAGGTGGATTCAGGAACTCAGCAAGATGAGGACGTTTGTTCAGAGGTCAAGCTCCCGCTGAACCGCCCCAGGTCACCTCTGCTAGCTCAGCGGCTGGTCACAGCCTGGTAACAATAGCAAGCACTCATGGGGCACTTATGGGCTTCCGTGGATTGTCGTGTTCAGCCCTCAAATCTGCACCTACATCAACCTCCAGGGCAAACGTGGCAGGCACAGCTAGTACACACCTGTGAGCACTCACAGCCTGCGGGCTATTGTTCTAGCATGTTTGACGCATCATCTCATTTAATCCTCACGCCATCCCTGAGATGTAGAGGCTGTTGTTACACCAGAGGCTGGATAAAAGCAATGGTGAGCGTTGACTTATTGGTGCGAGGTCACTATGCGACAGGTTCTGGTTTAAGCCCCTGACTGCACTGGTCCTAGAAAGGGGAGTGAACACAGGTCCCAGGGGCCCGCCCTCTTCCCAGGGCACTGGAACAGGCAAAGACCGCATCACCAGGCACCTGCATGAGTGAGGTGCAGGCTCCCGTGCGTGTGTGCACCCCATATGTGTGTGCCCCTAGTGGCAGTGGAAGGGACCCAGCAGCCAGTGGATATAAATTGACCTATAAGGGGAGACCTCAGACAGCCTGTATAGCCACTGCCTTGTTTCTCTGGCCTGCCCAGGCTTGCTCTGTCCTGGGGAGATGGTGTCAGCTAACCAGGCCCCCATCTGTGGAGGGGCCCCCTTGAGTACAGGATTACCCATAAGCTGCTCAGCTGAAGGGGATTGTTTGTGTACACGGCACGGAAACAGAAGGAGGCAGGGGCCTCTTCCCTGGCCGGGGCGGGCCTGGCCTGCACTGGCTGCCCCTTTGAGGAGCTGGAGCAGCCTAGCTCTGGGTAAGCTCTGGCTGGGTGGTAGGAGCTTGGAGGAGTGGTGACCATGGCAGAGCAAGCAACAGGGGTAAGGGCTGAGCAGGAAAAAGCTTCGGGTGTTAGGAGAGGGACCCACCAGGAGTGTGAGCAGGGCAGAGCCCAGCAGAAAGCAGAAGAGCTGAGGGCTGAGCTCAGCCCTGCGAGGCCCGGAGAGCAAGGCAGCTGCCGTGGTCTTTGGGGACCCCGAGCAGGGGAGCTCCCACCTCCTACAACAAGTACATTTTGTACCCGGGTACAGAAACACGACTGATTTTCCTTTGAAGTTGGGTAAAGTGTGGGTTTATTAGGACGCCTGCTAACCCCAGGAAAACTCAATTATAAAATCTGTGAATCACATTTCTCCATCTCTCCTGGCAAAGATGATGGGGATAAGATAGGCAGGAACAGGAGGACGACCATGCAAAAGCTGCATCTGAAACATTCCTCCGGAGCTCACTCACGGCCTGGCGGAAAGGGAGAGGGCAGCTGGCCGAGGACGTGGCTCAGAGAAGGACGGCTGCATTCTCAGGGTTGTCTTACAGTTTTGGTGCTTTCAGTTCAAGGTTCTTGGGTTCAACTCCCATGTTTCTACACTTTCCTGTGTGGGGAAATGATCCTTTAGATGTTTTCGGGGTTCAGAAGGAACTGAGCTTCCAGATGGTGAAGGGAACACGTGGCTCGAGAGGTGAATGATGTTCTGGATCCCAGCTTCCAAGCCAGCCAGCCCTGCTCCAGGGCCTCGGGCCTTGTGGGTGGGGCAGGACGCAGGTCTGTCCCTAAGCGTCGCTTGGGCCTATCCTTAGGTGTTAATCAGCCAAAAAGAATGGCTCCTCAAGAAGCGGGGATGCTGGTGAGTAAGCAGGTGACTGCATGTGTCTGTTAGGATGCTGCCTAGACTGCGTGTGCCATGAGGATAGTCACCGCCCTCTCAGGTGATCAGCAAGCTCTCTGCAACCTGCAACCTGGGTGATGCCACCAAGAAGCACAAAGGACGCTGGTGAAGGAATTCACTGTGTGTCTTTTCATACTACGTCTTGGGCAAGTCTGTCCCACTGCCGTGCAGGGCCGAGGACACAGACGAAGCTTCCCCACAGGGAGTCTGGTAGCCGGGAAGGCGAGAGGGGAGAAAGGCCAGAGCCAGCTGGCTCCCCAGGGAGAGTGAGAGAGGAAGGGTGGGCAGGGGAGGCAGGCTCTCGGGTGGGTGGAAATCCTTGGCTGCCCCACGGTGGGACTGAGGAACCGGGAACAGGATATGAGAAAGGACAGAGAGGATGGAGGCCTCCTTTGCCCTGAGAAGGAACAATGGTCGTTCTTCCATTGAAGGCTGACCTTCTGCAGGAGAGGAAAGGCCTCCTGGTGGAGGGGAGGGGGCAGCGTAGGGAGAGGAGCGGAAAGGGGCCCGCAGCCTGCGCTGACCCAGGCAAGCCAGAGGCCTTGGAACTGATTTGGAATTTGATATGCCCCGTCTCCAGGAGCAAAGGAGACAGGCCAGCTCACGCTGATGGCTTTACCTGAGCGTGACTTTACGACTTTACGAGGCGCCACTGACTCAGCTCCCACCTCCTCTCTGTGGCCTCCTAGGACCCTGGGCTGCAGGCCTGGATGGTACGCCGCCAAGCTGCCCAGGGCAAGGGTCTTGCACGCTATGCAGTGCGGTTCTGTGAGACTTACCATCGATACACACGGGAAGAAGGATTTCCCAGAAAAAATAAGGGAAGCTGGCCAATATAATCAACACACACAAACCCCTCCTCTTTCCAAATATGCACATATCTCCAAAACAATCAAAACTGCCCCATTAAATAACACTTGTTCAGTACAAAGGAAGTACAGCATGATGGGATTACAGACCGGTTCCAAGGAAAACATTCCCAATTGTTAGGCGTGCAACAATGAGCAAAACGCTGAATGGCATTTACATGCAAGGACTGTCGTGCTTGGGGCAAGCCCTTCAGAGGGCTTGAGTGCTCCGTCTAGGGGTCACCTGGCGGCTCTCCCACGGTCAGTCCCCTGGGAGAGGCTGCCCTCGCCATCCTGTCGAGAAGGGGCGGAACCTGGTTGGGGCCTGGCGCTCATCACACCAAGTCCTCAGCTGTGTCCCTGCCTGCTGCCTGCACACGGTGACTAGGGCATTTCCAGCCATACCTGCCTCTGGTCTTGGCTCTCCATCCTCTCAGCAGGAGGCAGGCCCTTTGCCAACGGCAGCTGGGAGTGCCGAGGACTTCATCGGGCGACAAGGAGGAGACAGTAGTCAGGGGCCAAAGGTGGCTTAGAGGCAGGAGTCTTCAGTTCTCACCAAAGAAAGGGTTTGGGGGACCTCAGTGACAGCAGTCTTGTCCCCTGTTATGGACTGAATTGTGTCCCCTTAAACTCGTATGTTGAGACCCCAACCGGCAATGTGACTATATTTGGAGATAAGGCCTTTAGGGAGGTAATTAAGGTTAAATGAGGTCATAAGGGTGGGGCCCCGATCCGATAGGATTAGTGTCGCTAGAGAAGAGACACCTGAGAGAACTCTTGCTATCTCCCAGCTTCCCCGCAGGTGAGGACACACTGAGAAGATGGCTGTCCACAAGCCAGGAAGAGAGCTCCCACCAGGAGCCTAATCCGCCAGCACCTTGATCTTGGATTTCCAGCCTCCAGAGCTGTAAGGAAGAAACGTCCCTTGGTTAGGTCCTCTGGTCTGTGGTATTTAGTTATGGCAGCTTGAGCATCATCCAACGACAAACCTAAAAGACAAAAGGGACCAAGAAGTCTCAGGGGATAAATGGATCCTAAAGGCCATTTGAGGCACCTGTCTGTCCAGCTGATGAGGGCTGGCCTCCCGAGACCCCGCCAAGCCTCTACCAGGCACATGGCAGAGAATTTGCTCATGCGCATGCGTACGGCATGTCAGCTTTTATGTTTCGTTTACTGATGGGGAGAAGTAGAAGCCTGAGAAAGTTGCACCCTTCTCTGAGTCTTCACTATGTCTGTTGGTTGCGTACCCCTCAACCTTTGGGATAAGGGCAGGGTGTGACTCCATCATGGGCCACGTCACATGCTGCCCTGTGAATTGTCAGGCAGGCAGTAAATAGCCGGGAGAGAAAAATTCTTAATAAACCGAGTCCAGTCTTTATGCAAATGTGCCTGCTAATAAAGAATGAGGGAGCAAGAACTACAGGATATTTATGACAGGGAGAAGCAGGACTGTTTGGAAACAGACGTTTTATGAGGTTCCCGTGAGGCAGCAGCTGCTCTTGCACATTTCTATTTCAGGGCGTTATGTAGGAAAGCAACGCTCTATAAATAGCAGGCAAACAAAGTTAGGGAGGTGGCTGTCATCGTGTGGGGAGCTGGGGCCAGGGCCCGAGGAGAACTTGACACTCCGTCCCTGGCCTTTGGGGGCTTCTCAGACTAGACCGTCTCTCCCGTGGTCATTTCCCTACTTGGTGATCTTTCAGGATTTCCAGACTCTTCTCTTCTTGGCAATATCTCCATGCCTGCCTCTAAGCGCCTCCTCCTCCTCCTTCTTTTTTTTTTGAGGAAGATTAGCCCTGAGCTAATATCTGTCACAAATCCTCCTCTTTTTGCTAAGGAAGACTGGCCCTGAGCCAACATCCGTGCCCATTTTCCTCTACTTTATATGTGGGACGCCTGCCACAGCATGGCTGGACAAATGGTGCATAGGTCCGCACCCGGGATCTGAACCAGTGAACTGCAGGCCGCTGAAGTGGAACTCGAGAACTTAAGTGCCGTGCCACCAGGCTGGCTCCTCGTCTTCATTTTTAAATGTTTTTCTTTACTTTGTATTTTGAAAGAAATTCATACCTCAGAAAAGTTGCAAGGAACACCTGTACACCTTTCACACAGATTTACAAGTTAACCTTTTATTTGAGCTCCCTCTCTGAATATGTATTATTCATATTTTTTGCTGAACGGTTTAGGAGTTTGTTGCAGACAACATGGTTCTTCATCCTGGAATAATTCAGCAAGCGTCTCCTAAGAAGAAGGACCTTCTCTTTTATAACCATGATGTGATGATCTCGTTCAATATTATAACCTAATAACGAAGTCAATATTCATATCTCACCGGTGTCCCAGTAACGTTGTTATAACACCCTCCCCCGCCTGTGATGCAGTCCAGAATCTTTCACTGCATTTACCTGCCCTGGCTCGTTGGTGTCCTTTAATCTTCAAGGATTCTGTAGCCTTTCCCTGGTTTCACGGCATCGACATTTGGGTCAGTTAGGATCTGAAGAGGGAAGCAGGGTGACTGTGTGCAAAGGAGTGAGGGGCTTATTAGAGACATGAGCCCTTGCACCTGTGTGGGAGAAGCTGGGGAATGAAGTTCTGGAGGGGACGTTTGGGGGTGTCAGAGGAAAGTGCTAACCTGGGTCCCCACAGAGGGCTCTGGAGATGCCTGCGGAGGGCTGTTCCCTGATGGCGTGTTGGGCCTGAGGTCTCTGTAGGTGAGCAGGGTGGCAGTTGGGGAAGGGAGTGGATGCAAAGCAAGAGAGAATAAGGGCAAAGTGGTCCCCATGGGGACACGGTGGCTGATGTCTGTCCCCACTGCACCTCTAGGAGAAGCTGGTACCCTTCACCATGGAGCTGCACCCACACCTGGCCCAGGACTTGGAGAAGCTGAAAGAAGGAGATCCCGTGGGAGTCAGAGAGGCCGCAAATCCGGCTACCACCTGGCATGGAGGTGACCTGGCATACAGTGGCGGTGGGCGCCTCAGTGAGCCCCCTAAGCACAGTGGTGTGGTGGCTGCTCCTTCTCTGCCCTCCAGCTCTTGTGTACATTTCTCCCTTGGCCTACCCTGGCCGTGTTTCCTCCCCACAAGCTTCTCTCTCCTCCTGTGAAAGTGAGTCCAATAGATGCAGGATGGATGAACGTGCTTGCAAGATACCCTTCAGGTGTCAGCTCGCACACTCATGGAGTGCTCCCTTCCTGGGCTGTGCCCCATCGCACCCCACGCTGCCCTTTTCATGCTCACCTCACCTCATCGCTTGTGCTCCAGCTTCTCTTCCCTGTGAGATGGGAAGCATTCCTGGGAGGACAGGGCCCCATCCGTCCGGTTTATGGCTGTACCTCCAGGATCCAGCCCCACATCTGGCATAGAGTCTTCACTCACAAAATAGTTGGACAAATGAAGAGGTGAACCGATGGCTCTGCTTTTCTGGAAACCGTCATAAGGCTGCTTGGGTGGTGACTTGTACTTTCAGGTTCTCTTCATGAGGAGTGGCTTTGTGGATGGGCCAGAGTGGATTAGACCTGCCCGCCATTTTCAGTGGTGACTCTGTCCTGGGATGGACCTGTGTAACTAGGGCAGGATTCAATTCCAAGTTACAGAAAATCCATTGTAACTTTGGCTTAAATGAGATGAGTCTCTTTCTCTCTCACATTAACCGAGTCCAGAGAGAAGTGATCCATGGAACTCTCAGGAGCCCAGGCGCCCCCAGCTCACCACTCTGCCCCCCCCTCTTCCTCATGGTCCCAGAATGCAGCACCCACGTTTCAGGCAATGGGAAGGACGAGAGGCAGAAGGAGAGACAAAAAGGGCATCCATGGGACACTTCTACTTACATCCCATTGCCTAGAACTAACTCACATGGCCACATCTGCTGCAAAGGAGGTTGGGAGGTCATCTTTATTCTGGGTAGCCATGTGCCCGGGTGAAAATACTACTGCTATAGAAGGATAAAGAATGGTTTTGTCAGGCCACCAGCAGTCTTGGCCACAGTCGTGTTTTGGGGAGGGTCGCACGTCTTCCTTCTCATTCCCTCTTTCATATGCAGGATGGGAAGGGGGTAGGGTTCCCAGACCCCACGTTCTCATGCCAGGACGTTTGAGGCTGATCACCTTTAGCTGTTCCTAGAAGCGGGGCAAGCTGGTAGCAGTGTGTCGCTATTGGATTACTTGTGTTGAACAGCACGTGGTTGTCCACCATTCAAATATAAAATTGTAGGGAGTAGACTGCACTTAAATGCAATGGGGGAAAAAACCCAAAGGGAAAAACCACCCAAAGCCCAAGAGAAGCGTATTAGGATTTAAAGGCAGTGTTGAGAAGGGAGGCGAGCAGGGTGAGTTCATATGGCAGCGCCGTGGTGGGTTATGGTGGATATCTGGCCATTTTTGTTGCAATGCGATTGAAAGAGTGTGTTTGCTATAGGGTAGGACTTTTAAATCTCTTTTTAAAAGCATGATTCTCATGGGAGTGTGTCAGAGGCGGGGAACGGCTCCCTGGAGAGCAGTTTTGTAACTCCTGGTAGCTGAGTTTATTTTGTTTTATTAAAGTATGCCCTGCCGAACATTTCCTCCTGTTCTCATGCTTTTGGACTGGAGAATGCAGAAAGTAAATTTGCCTCAAACAGCACACCAGCAGGCTATCAACAAGGGATAGCCCCTTGCTGTGTCCAGAGGGTGAATCACCCTGGTTCCCAGTGGTCAGTGCAGGGGTCGGGGGGAGGTGGGTATGGGTATGGTGGGTAATGCTACTGGTAAAGGAAGTGTAATGTGCTGTTGTTACAGCCAAATTACACGTGAACATAAACAGCTGGTGTTTATTCAAGTCGATTTCCCCACGTCCTCCATCCTGGGGCCTGGACTATTCCTATTACAGCCATTGCTACCATTCTGTAGAGTCTGGCATGCATGGGGTGTGCCACTGTCCTGGGCATTACAGGGCTAGGGTTCATTTATTTAGCTGTGTCCATTTCCCACGAAGCCCTTACACTACTTGGCAGGCCAGAGAGGCAAACACAGGAGTGCATGTAAGTCAATCAGTGGAGTGAACAAAATACAGAACAACAGTGACTGCCATTTATTGAGCACATACTGTGTTCTGGGTCCTGAATGTACAAGAGCTCAGTCCCTCCTTTGACAGCATCCATGAAGGGCAGGGGCTGTCTTCTCACTTTGGGGATGAGGACAGTGAGGTTGCGGTCGTTGAATAACTTGCCTCCAGGTCTGTGTGTGACAGGGGTTGGCCGTCAGGGTGGGATGCTCAAGCGGGCGAGCAGCACAGCCCGTGAACGCTGCCCATGGGCATTTATGCAGCAAACAGAGGCGCGCTCTCTCTCTCAGGTGGGGGCTTCACTGACTATGATCCAGGGGGATATCCCACGCAGGATCGCCTCTTCCCTCCACAAGCAAACCAGTGGGACAGTCTCTTTGCCATTAGAAGCAGCCACTATGGTTGACAAAGGTCCTCCAGCTTATCTGGCCCCTGTTTCCTGTGATATTAATGTTTATGCCAAGACAATACCAGCACTTTAGCTTTGGGTTAGAATGAAGAATTTACCTCTTTAGAGTATGAGATCTCCTTTCGGGATCTTTTCCCTTGGAGTCCACACCAGCAGTTTAACCCTTAATCATTTCGATCTCTGGGTTTCCACACATCTATTGGTTTACCAAGCTCTGGAGGGGAGACACCATGTATTTACAACCCTCTGCCTGGTGGAGCACTGACATAGCAGAGAACAACAAATTCTTAAAGACCGATTGATAGATTTAATAATAAAAAAACTTACTTCCTTACCTCGTTGGTGTCTTTTGCAAAGCAGTGTTTTTATTCCACTAATAACTCATTTTTTCTCTTATGTCTAGTGGGAGAGAGACCTCAAAGTATTTAGTGTTTACTGTTCTGCTGAGCTATTCATGGGTCAATATGTTTCCCCTTGCAGAAGTCCGTGTATCTCCCTCCCCAGAGGATAGACTCATGTAGTCAGCGATTGCATTAAACTAGCACCACAGAGACCCCCTCCCACGCTAGGTGCCATCTAGGGAATTCTCTTCCATCAAATAATTATTTTTACATGTCCATGCATGACATAGTTGCACTTTCTATGTCGAGAAAACATTTGTTTCAGGACTTTCCCATGTTGTTTCCAGCCATTTCCATACCTTTCTAAGGCATCTACTCTGTGCTGTGGGCAATATTGAAAATGTGGAAGTCATGATCCTGCCCTCAAGAAACTTACAATCTAGTTGGGAGTCAAGACAAAAATTAATGGACAGGGGCCGGCTCCGTGGCTGAGTGGTTAAGCTCGCACGCTCTGCTGCGGCGGCCCAGGGTTCAGATCCTGGGCGTGGACATGGCACTGCTCATCAGGCCACATTGAGGCGGCGTCCCACATCCCACAACTAGAAGGACCTGCAACTAAGATATACAACTATGTACAGGGTGGGGATTGGGGAGATAAAACAGAAAAAAAAAAAAAGATTGGCAACAGTTGTTAGTTCAGGTGCCAATCTTTAAAAAAAAAAAAAATTAATGGACAAAGACAACATAGCATCAAGACCTTAGTTTCAAACTGAAGGTTGGAATCCATTGGTAGGTGAGTTGCAAAATTAGTTTAAAGGACCACAACCAACATTAAAAAAGCAAATAACTAAAATAGTACATATTACAGTTTATACGACATAGCAAGAATTGTTTTGTAAAAATTTGGTTCTGTTTTACGTATAAATATAATGTATTGCTTTTCCATAGGTCATGGTCACATACGTGGGAACACTTCTGACCACCTGTGCGTGAACTAAGTAGAGGCTAACGTGTGAAGGAATGCCACGTGAGGGGCAGTAACTTGTGTTTGAGTCATAGACTCTTGAGAACATTTGAAACTATTGGAAATTTCTCTAGGAAACGTACACATGTGTGGCATTTTGCATGTGATCTCAGTAGTTTGTGGACTTTGCAGCCCACAGACCTTGGTTTGATCCCTTTGATCTGGAGAGTAAAGCCAGTAGAGAAGGAGAGGAAAGAGGCCGGGGAGGTGGCGGGCCTATATATCTCAGGGGCTTGTATTTCTGATGAGGAGGGAACATCACCCACGGGGAGTCAAGGAAGGGTTCCAAGGAGGAGGAACTCACGATCTAATTCATGTTTTAGGAAGAGCGTTCTGGAACCATTAGCTGCCAGAAATCCAACTTGGAGGCTATTGTAATAATTATTTGAGAGATGGTAGAGGCAGATAGGCAGAAGGACACAGTTGTAAAAAGTTTTCAGGATGAAATAATCATGGGACTTGGTGTTTGTTTGGACATGGGGGGAAATGAGGAGGAATGAGGAGTCTGGGGTGGCTTCTGGGTCTCCAGCTTTGAGAGGACAATGATGTTCATCACGGAGTCAGGAAGAAACATAGAAAGAAAAGTAGGCTTGGGGAGGAATATGAGTCTAGTTTTATAGTTAAGGGACATGGACAAGTCTATATCCAGTGACCAGTATAGTCTCCTGACATTCTCTCTCTAAACTAAAGAGAAAGTGCCAAGGAGGGCCTCGTTGCGGTGGGTTTGGGGGCTGGCAGAGCTGGAAGAGGAGGGGGCTCTGTACTTCATTTGGGTAGGTGTGTTCTTTGGTGGGACGGTTTGGTGATCCTGGAGCAACAGAAGTGTTCCGAAGACCCTGAAACCCCCATTCACAATGGAAATAGCAGGAGGCCTGTGTTCGCAGACTAGCTCTGGAAATACAGGGGAAGGGGCTGGTCCGGCCCAGTAGGGAAGAAGGCCCAGCAGACTGTGGTGAGGGGTGTGTGTGTGTGTGTGTGTGTGTGTGTGTATGTGTGTGTTTGGCAACGTCTAGCCCCATCTGGGTCTTAAGTCGGTAGGTCTGCCCAACCTACTCCATAAGCACATACGAGGAGGGGCCCTAAACCCTAGCATTGCATCAGCCAGCGTCCTGACTGTGTTTTGCTCTGCCTCTGGCCTGCTTCTGATCACCCAGCCACTGAGCTACTGCTGGATCTTGTTTATGGCTTGGCACTGACCCGTCAAGCCTGGTGCTTTGTGCGCCCCATTCAGTCTTGACCTCTGCTGATCTCCGCTCCATTCATCCACCGTTTGCCCTTGAACCCTGAGCTGAGCTTCTGCCAGCCTGTCTGGGATACTGCCCTGTTTCCTCCAGTCCTGTGGCCTGGTTTCTGTTGGATTCCATTAAGCCTGCCTGTGGGAACCATACTGGAGACCAGGATCTCCAAGTCTCTTCCAGGCGCAGGAAACTGAACCATCCATGTTTGTTTCTGCTACAGAGAAGGATAATGTAGTCAGGAACTTCATGCTTATTCACTCTTGATAGCTGCTGCTAGGAATCTGGGTTAGAGTGAAATTTGTATTTGATGATTTGGGCGAACTATTTGTTTGTAGTTCTGCTAAATAGTTCCAGATGTCAGCACAACACATAGACCATGATGCTGTGTTTGGAGCATTCAGTGCTGAACCTTTTTTTTCCCCCTAAATAAGAAAAATACATAAGGAGAAATTAAATCTCCCTTTCTGTCTGGAACCCACCACAAAGATCCTGCATTATTTACCAACCACAAGAGTTTTCCCTTGGCTGGTACATGTGTCTCTCCTAGCACTTTTTCCAGCTGCTCAAACAGACTTTGGCAACGCTACTCACTAGCTCCAAATACCAAGATTATCCTATTCCCATTCAGTGGTTCAGCGATTTGGCACCCAGAAAAAAAGCAAAGACAATTTCAGAATCCTACTGACTCCCCAGATGGAACTAGCTAACAGTCCCGACCTCATGGTGGTGGAATGAAGATTAAAAGAGACAATGTGTGAAAGTACCCAGGACAGTGCCTGGCACCCAGGGAGTTTTCATTCAAGTCCAGCTCTTCTTTTCCTTAGGAGGGCTACGTAACACCCGACCAACAGATTTTCAGGTCAGCTGGGCAGTGAGGTTGAAGCCTCTGGGGTGGGTTTATCAGTACCTGAGAAGTGGATTGAGAGTCCTGAGAATGCTATGCAAGAAAAGAAACTGGTAGAAAGAACAGAGGTTGTGGAGTTGAAAGACCCGCGTTTGAATCCTAGCCTGACTTCTTCCTACCGGAGTGACCTTTGGCAAGACATTTGCAAATGGGAATAATGCCTTCCTCAGACGCCTGTTGGGAAGACCAAATAACACTGGCTAAGGGTAAGTGATTAAGCAGTAATTATCACTGTGACCTCCCTCACTTCTTGCAGCAAGTTGTCAGGAGGGCGTCACATTCTCAGATTTCATGGGTGTTACAAAATGGCTTTGCTGGAAGTGCTGGCTATTTATTTATTCATTCATTCATCTACTGAGTTTCTTTTTTGAGTATTTATTTATTGAGTATCTGCTATGTTCTATGTGCTGTAGATACCGCAGTCAACAAAGGAAGCTCTTACCCTCATGGAAATCGTCTTCTAGTGAGAGGAGACAGACAGTAAACATATGGTAGGTACAAACTACCTGCACAGGCAGTCAATGACAGGTTCATTAGGGAGATTCAGAATTTGACTTCATCAAGCTTAGGGAGCCGGTGACATAGGAAATCAACTGTCTTTAGGCCTATTTAGTTTTTTCCTAGTTGGGATGACTTTGCTGGTGCCACGCTTGAGGT